CTCACTCTCACTCTCACTCTCACTCACTCACTCACTCACTCACTCACTCACTCACTCACTCACTCTCTCACTCACTCACTCACTCACTCACTCACTCACTCTCACTCACTCACTCACTCACAGTTGTGGTACACTGGTAGCTCACTGTGTTTGCCAAGTTAGTGTGCTTGTGAAAGAATGTTCATTGTACAGAGACAGTCACTGTCAAAATGACAAGGTAATGGAGGGACAGTTTTATACTTTTCTGCATGTATATTTGGAGACCAGTAAAATTGTCAGTTCTGGCTCTCATTACCTGTGAAGTGGCAGACCCCTTTTTCAAGCCCAGAATTTACGCAGTTGATGGCAACTCTCTTTAATTTCACTACCTTTTAGCACTTACTCATTTTCCAATGGCTGCTGTGACATGGAATGGTTGGTAAGCTTGTATTTTCAGCTTCTAGAAAGAAAACAGACAAGATACTTCTCTTGAACAGAGTGTTGAGACATCTAATGCACTGTGCAGCTATGTGCAATTTTGAGAAGAGTCCATCTTTCCGATCATCTAAACTGAAAGTCTCAACACTTAATATTGCGGTTTTGATATGTATCACAACATTTGTTTGTTCTAAAAGGAAAAAAGGCCTGGACACTTTTATTTGATCTTCTTCCCTCAGTGATGTTCTTATGCAAATTTAGATGAATACAATGCTCGGTTTAATCTTGTAGCACTTTCGTCTGGGGAAGATTCACTGCGTGCATGTACATTTGGCGCCGGAGTGGCTGTGCCTAATGGGAGGCAAACACCTGCAGTCGCGGCTGTGACTGTAGCTAATTGTACACACATTGGGCTCGGACATGCCCGCCATCTGTCCAATGAGGGCAGGTGTTTCTTGTGTTCTGATGTGTGCGTCTGGGAATGAATAGCTGTCCTATTAAAAAAAAAATCACAGTCACAAGGAGCTCAGTTTTGGATGGATTATTATGGGGGAATGAGCTGTCACCATGAATTATGAATGATTGGTGAGAGAGTAACTTGTTAAGTTGGCTTGCCATTTTTGACTTCCTTTTTTTTCATCAGCAAACTAAATATTCCCAAAAATGTCTATGACATTTTTACTTTTGCCTTGTGGCAACTAGCCTGTGGGAATTTGCAGAGGGTTTGTTTTTAAAAGGAACATGCTGCGGGGATTTTTAGTAGTAATAGATTGAACAAAAAAGAAGGTGCTTTTAGATACTGCAGCTAGGATTCATTTTTGCAAGCTTTAGATTCCCCAATGCAAAAAAAATTAAACCAAAGAATGATTATTGAGGCACCTGCTGGCAGACCTAAGAAAGTTGGAAGTTCTTGTCGCGGCCTCTCGAAAGCACAGACTTACATGTAGAGTGCCTCCTAACTTTGTTTCAACATGTAGTGTTTGTGAAGTTTGCACTGTATCATGTTGACCTGCGTTTGTTTTCTGTTGAGGGCATGCCTTGCTGGAAGCAATGAGTCACCCAGTCACGGAAAGGGGGTCACTGGTGTGTCTATAACCCATTCCTGTTTCTGCCTCATACTTGGCGTCTGTCTTTATGACACGCAAATTAGCTGGTAATCACTGCAAAACTGTCAGGCACTGGAGGTTGGGGTTGGTTCTTTCTACAACAGCAAACATTCTACAACTCAGTGCCAATATAGCATTGGAAAGAGGGTGGATTAGCTAGGTAAGAGACTGAGTTGTCCCTCCCTCCCCCCGTCTGTTAAGTGAGTCCAGTCAGCCCCTGTTAGTGCAATGAGTTTGTAGTTCCCTTGTCAGTCTACCAACCGGATGACAACTCCTTGGCAATGTGACAAGGCACGGAATTGATAATTTGGCTTTGCGACAGGCTGAGGTCCTAGAGTGGAATTGATTCACTCCCCTCCCCCCCTTCTATTCAATTGGCAGGGTTCTTGCACTTTTGGTCGCAGATGAAGTCAGGCGCTGGATGGATTGTTTCATTTGTCAGCTCAATCTTACGCTCTCACACTACACATGCAAATGTACCGGAAACAGAACATTTGGTCCAGTTTTGTTTCAGTGCAGATAAAATACTTTTTTCAGATCCCATAGGGCCTGGCGTTTTTTCATTTTGGGGTATTATCACTGTGTATTTTTCTCTTTTAGTTAAGGTTTAGTTAAGTTTTTTTTTCTTCAATTTGTTTATCCAAAGAAGAAATGGATTTTCTGTTTCCAATCTGTTGTGGGAGACAGTAGTTTTGAATTGTAGTTTTTGTTCTTCTATGTGTGAGTTAACAGATCAGTGGCCATGTCAGTGGTAAAGCAGGTTTAATCTGCACATTAGTATGATTGGTGGACATCGTATGTAAATCTGATCAGCAGAGATCTAGGATGCATCGACATCTTTCAGAATTTGCTTCTTTGGTTGTTGGGCAGGTACACCTGCAACAACAGACATACGTGCAAGTCTGTTCTACGCATAAGATTTTGTTTTGTTTTTTTTTTTCACTGGAGCTGCTTGCTTGAATTATCCGTGAGTGAAAACGATATGCCAATGCATGTGTGTTGAGCTTGATAACGTCAGTAGTCTGCATTTGATCCGGCTTGGGTTAGAATGCGGTGTCTGATCTGATGTTCCCGACTAGTCAATGGGACTCGTCTGGTATTTCGTTAATTGAGGCATTTGATGGCCGTCATGGAGGCAGACTGCCATGACACGAGATTCTCTTGCATTGAGTATTGCTGTGGTTAAAGTTATGTGTATCACTCAGAGGCTTACACATTCCACTTCAACAGCTGATAAGCCTGCCATGTAGCCTTTTCACTGAAGGTTTTGAAGATGTCATATCGTGCACTTATTATTACATACATGTACATGTATATATGTTGGAGTTTTGTTTTGTCATAGTCAAATCCATCACGAATTCATTCGCAATTTCAGTCATAAGTCCTTTAAGAAGACCTACCACGAGTAACAGGATGAACAGCAACAAAGTGTGTTAATGGCAGTTGATTTGAACAGCTTGTTAAAGGTTTTACCACTAGAGGGCTTGTTGTTGGAGGGGCATGTTGTGATGACTTGACCTCAGCACCGGTCTTTTTGTCCCTTTTTGACTGGAAGTCATGTAAGTAACCTGGCAGATTACCTCACCAAGCCACGATCAGCACAAGGACCAGTCATTGGCAGTTTACATTATATGGCAATTTGGCTGGTGGCCTGTGCTTACCCTGCAAAATGCGACTGTACTTGGCCAATGGGAGTGGTCAGCAGCACCATGAAATTGACCCCTGTTTTGGAATTATTACTGGGAAATGTAAAGCAAATAATCATTCCAGCAAAGAGTATAAACCTTTTTGTAAGTTTATTGACTGCAGTGTTTACTGACCTGTTGTGGTTTGTAGAATCTTTGAATATCTTTTGGGTTGTTCTTGTCCTTTCTAGTCTGCCGACCCAGAGGAACGTGTGAGACGAGAGCGAGAGGAGAAGGAACTGGAGTGGCAGAGACTTCAACGAGAAAAGGAGATGAAGCAGCAACGGGAAAGGGAGCTGGAGAGGAGACTACAGCCAGAAAAGGGACAGGTTAGCGGAGAGTATATTTCCATTGTGTCTTTCAGACTGTTTGAAATGTAGCGATGTCTATGGCAGTGACTGTTCAGTGATCTGCCAATGATCTGCCAACAGTGACTGGTCTGCCAATGATAAACGTTAAAGGTGGAGCCCAACATACCATTTTTGTATTGCATTGTCACTAGGTAGGCTCATTTGGATTCAAGACTGATACTACAGCATGTGTGCTACACTTGTACATTTAATCTTCCCTGTTGGCTGCACTTGTTGCTGTCACAGTTAACAAAGGTCCAGGAAATCTCTGAAGCTGAATGATACAAATTTCTACCTTTGCGTAGCTCCCTCTAGTGGATTTCTGTGGAAATGAAATTAGCAGCATTTGCTCTGAAAATTGGTCAGTGAAACTCATTTTAGTTACATGTGCCTGTTGTAAGGTGTTAAGATTCTTTTACACTTGGACACGGGACTTTCTGAACATGTGACCAGAGAGTAAATCTTAGTCTTCCTCAAATTTTGTCCACCAGTTTCAATACCAAGACTGTCCCTGAAGGTTTCCCTTCCCTGAAGGTTTCCCTTCTCCTCTGATAAATCTGACAATCTGCTTTTTGCATTCACTTTCCAGATGTTAGTAATCCATACCTCCCAAGCGGAGGAGGAAACTGTATTTTGTTACCTGCCCACTGTACACTTTGCTCACCAGTATGAGTTCCATTCCCCATTGTGTGTCACTGTACACCACATTCTATCAATCACAGCCCTGTTGAAATTGACGTCAAATTCGGCAAGCCACGAAATAAAGGCCTCATGTTTCAAACCTCAGCTTAATATCAACGTGAGATTTGTCCCTCTAAAAAAGAACCAGAAAAATAGAAAAAAAGAATGCTCTGTTGCGAAACCTTCAGAAAAAACATACAATCTGCTCAATTTCCTCCCCACCCCCAGCAGAAGAATATAACATCCTCCCCCTTCCCATGTCTGTGAGGCATGTTGGCAGTCTGCACCAGAGGGAAGGAGGGAACTCAAGTAATAGGTTGCCCAAGGTTCAGTAGGGCTGTCTGAAATGTGATCCCACCCACTCCCCTCTAGTGGCTTGCCTGCCAGCCACCCTTAAAATGTAATGCACAGATTCAGGCCGGCCTATGCCATTCTGACATTTGAAACCCCTTTTTTTCTTGGGGGAGGGAGGGAGAGAAATGGTTGGTAGGGATTAATGCTGTTCCATGTTGAATTAATCTCCTGCCAGTGGTTGCCAACATCCTTCTCTTCCCCCTTTTCATGTCCTGCACCCTTTTTGTTTTTCGGCACTCCTTCAGAGTCAGTCTTCTCTGGATGCTCTTCTAGAATAGATGAGCTGTGCATGACATATTCAATTTCTCACTCACACAAGCAGAGGGAGAGCAGGCTGGATGGAAGTGCTCTAACAAGTAAAAAGAAAATCATCCGACAGGGAGGTGATGTTAACCTCAGACTGTACTCTAATGAAGTGCTCCGGCCAAACAATGTTTCATTGAAAATGCTTATACTAGTAGAAATGTTTGCCAATCTCAATATCCACATTTTGTGTAGCAATTTAAAGCTATACCAGTTTGTGTGCAAATTGACTACAGGTCATCAGAACTTACTTGATTGACCATTAATTGATATTTTTGACTGCATGGTGTCAGTCTGCTATCTTTTAGAATGTGATTGAAAAAGGAGTACATAACGTTGTGTGTGCCCTGTCCTCATGGAGATGTTTTGTTTTTTCCTCTATTAACAACATTCCATGTCAAACCCAAATAGTCTAGCCCCTCTATATGGAACAAAGGGAGGGAGGATCAGAGGTTTGAATAACTTAACTGCCTGAATTGAAGAGAGACTTTAATACTCGGAAGCTTTTACCTTTGATGGACTTGAGGTGTTTTTTGAATGTTCCTGTGTGAGTTACAGAGCAAGCATTGAAGGGGTGGTATGCTACATGTTTACCATAAATGTCTGCCTTCTTTTTTTCGCTGTGGAGAGGGGGAGACACAGAAGAGATGAAAATGGAACGATGACAAATGGATTGCCTCCTGAAAGACCAGGCAAAGGTCTCACAACCTTTGGATCATTCATGTTGATCGGTCTCTGCTGTGGTGTTATGTTACCGGCTCGGCAGGGCATGTATTGATATGGGGAAGGGGGATGGCAGTCATTTCAATGAGTGGCGCCCCTATGGGAGAAAAGAATCCAGCGCTCAAATTTAAGAGATCACCAGGAAAAGAAAAAATAGTGTGACACACATGATCATATTTGCATCAAGACTGGCTGTTGAAAATTGGTTGGTAAAGAAACGGTTTGGAATAACGCTTGGCATCTTACCAAATAAAGCAAATGAGCAAAGGTCAATAAATGGTTTAGAATAACGCTTGGCATCTTACCAAATAAAGCAAGTGAGCAAAATGAAAGTAGACCGGAAGGAAAATGGTATTACCAATATCCCCATGGATAGTTCGAGCAAAGTTTTCTGTAACCATTTGAAGTGATGCCTGAAAACCGTTTTGAGAAAAGAAATCTGGCAGTTGGTGGAATGGGCTTGCCAGCTACACTAATTCACATCCCTGCAACTTGAGAATTTTGTCTGATCTGCAAAATGTCATCTGTCTGATAAACAGCAGCGCTTTCCAATGGGGCCTCAGGTGGGAGAAACAAAGGTCAGTCCTTTCAACCCTTCTGGCTGTTATTGGCCAGTTGAACTGGAAACAGGGCTGAGTGGGTGCTGAGCCTGCCAAATGCTCCTACATTATGGTATAGAACTATTGGGCACAAATCTATTGGAACTTGGTATACATATACACGGAGCTGGAGAGAATTCATGGTGGGGTAGTCCTAAACTTTCCACACATCATCTGGATGTTCGTAATCAATTTTGTGCTTCTCCTTTCCGACCGACCATTACTGTTGGCTCTGACCAGAGAAAAAAAAAATTGTGCTCCCTGACCCAACCAAGAAATACTTGAGAACAAAGGATCATCTGCACCATTTCTGGGGACAAGCAATTACTATTTTCACTCTCCTCCTTTCCCACGACTGACCGTCCCTCAAGGTGAAAAAAGAGAGCCATAGACTAAACATGGAAGTTGTAGTAAAAAGAAATTTGGGGGGGGGGCTATGAGGAGTTGCCATTTTGGATCAAGAACTTCACCTGATTGAGACAACTGCAGGAGGAAACATTCAAATATACTTACCAATCTGGTGCTAGCAGAGGCTAGGAATAATTTGACTCCATTAATTTGTCATCCCTTGATTCATGGGGCCTGCGATTTCCTTTCTGTCTAGGAGGTGGGGAAAGAAGAGACATTACCAAATTCCCATTTAGCACTTCAGACCCCTTCTTGAGCCGATTAGATTAAAATGTGGGCACTTGGGCGGCCCAGACTAGACTAAAAGGGAGAACCAAGGGACTGGCATGCTGCCATGTGAGCCTGGCAGACAGACTGAAGTGTCTGGAATGTCGGGGGAAGAGTACTGTGGGGGCTGCTTCAAGTTGTGCCCCCTGGGGAAAAGAGAAAAGGCAGGGGTTGTTGTGCTACATTGTCTGTGAGTTCATTGGCATCAGAATGAAGAAAGGTTGTGCAGACACATGATGAGAGTTGACATGCAAAGTGTACATGTATTTTGGCTTATGGAAGATGTCCTGGCTGAAACTGAAATCATAGGAAACACTTTTTTATTATTTTTTATTAATTACTTGGCTCTCCACTGAAGTCTGTTGGCATGTGAAAGTTCAGATCTGCCCAGCAAACTTTATTTTAATGGCACCGCAATTACTGTCATGTTAGTAGAAACAGAAGCATTGGCTAAATCAAATTGTTCCATGGCTGTTTCTGTGGTTGTGCATAAGTTGTCGCCCGCATTTTTATTTTTACAGTTCTTTACAAGGAAAATGAGGGTCACCACCTGCAGAGATTTTTACAGCAGTCCTTAAGCAGATGAAAAACTTCACTGTACTCCTTTCCCCTCTCACGCTGGCGCCTTAACAGGATTGATAATCAATAGTTCACACCTCCAAGTGTGTGCGAGGTTGACTGCACTGTGCGATTGGTGCAGGAGAAAAGGTTTTTTTGTCCGGGCGAATTTATTTCCAGTTGCAGTTTTGTGAATACTGTAAGAAAGGCACAAGATTCTCAGGTTTCCATGTTCATTGGTGTCAGTGGATACATTGTGGTGGCCGAAGTTAAGATTGTTGTTCTGTCTCAAAGCAATAGGTGACCATTCCTGACCTGTGTCTCTTGAGTTCTCTTTAAAGGCAGCCAACCAAACTCACAAACAAAAGCACAAATGAAAATAAAGATTGGGGGGGGGAAATAAAGATTGGGGGGAGGGGTTAGTTGTAGCGCTACCGACACCTGATACCCCGGCACTCAACCCACACATTGAGAACCACTGGCCCCCAGAATCTGCCGTGCGCATTCATCACATTCCCCACTCTTATGCATCATTCATGTGGCATGCCACAGAGAGACTTGATATGAACATGGCGATCATGTTACCGACTCATTACCAATTGACATTGGTAATCCACACGCTGTGATTTCAGCTGAAATAAAGAGCCCTGCCCGCTATTCTCATGTTTCAGAGTTCTCCCTCCACGCCTGTCTTCCTCTGAATCATACATGAACTCCAGCCCAGAGTCTCCCAGACTGAATTCGTGTTAAGCCCCTCTTGTAGCAGTCATTGCGCGTACTTTGACACTGATCGAGACCATGCAGTGCTGTGCTTGTGGATTAATGAGTCACTGGCAAAGTGTGTTGAGTGGTTGTCAAGTTATTTATGGGATTTCTGGCTTAAAGCTGAATGCGCCCATTTTTATTTATAGTTATGAGAACAATTTAAAAACTTTTTTTTTTGATTTGCAGCACTCCTTGAGTCAAATGGAGAGGGACCGTTACCTTAAGATGCACTCCTCTGGTGAGCAAGCTCGGATGCATGAGGACCAACTGTACAGAAAGGGATTCCTTGGCCGGACTACGGAGGGTGAGTGCCTACAGAGGCACGAGAAAGACCATGCTACACCTTCAGAACTCATGAAACTGAAAACAGAAGAAGGTCATGTCAGAGAGGGCCATGGTTTCAAGGTCTATCATCCTTCTCCCAAACCTGATGGGCATATAGCCTATTATGGTACAGTACCAGCAAGATATGAGGACTCCCGCTCTGGGGTACCAGTACGGACTGAGCAGTCCAAACATATGCATGCCTTCCATGTCAAGAGTGAACCACCAACTGGATATCACCCATTCTCCCATGCTATGACCAGTAGTCACTCCGAGAAGACTGGCCTGGAAGGAGATTCGGCTGCCAGTGATAGCAAACCCAGCATTGCGTTCTTAACCCGGACTGCTGACCCCCTGAGGACGGGGAGTATAACTGCTGGAATTCCCATCAAAGCAGTAGGTGCCTCCCGCAAGGACATCCCGACCCCGCCGCCTCTGCGTAGAGATCCAGAGCCTGGCAAAGCAGCAGAGATGGCACTGCACACGTGCGCGGTTCAGGGCAGGGATAACCTGGGACATCAGCCAACATACACAGTCGCTGGAGGTTCCTTGCAGCACCCCTCCTCGCAGCCCAGCAAATCGGCCTATGTGAAGGATGGCGTGGATCACCGGGTTGGCGACTGTGCTCACAATGTGCCTGTCATTGTGCACAGCTCTATTGGGAAGCCCCCTCCCCTACAGGGCCAGTCTGTTCAGAGCTTGGCAACTTCAAATCGTAGCACTGGCCTACAGCCGCAATCACCATTACGTGTGGCAACTCCTCAGCAGCTCTCCGCTGCTGCCCTGCAGTCAATCGATTTACAGAAATCTGGGAAGTCACCTTCTGGGTATCCCCAATCTACATCGCATTCCCTCTATTCTCTGCAATCAGGGCACACGTCCCTTCTCATGTCTGCCTTAAGGCCAAATGATGGTGGCCGGCCAAGTGATTACCAATCACCAATGGATTCATCCAGAGGCACAGATGCCCCTCCTGCAAAACGTAAATTGAGTGGATCAGGCACAGGGACGAAACGCAAGCACCCAAAGGTCAAAGGGAAGCAACCAGAAACTGGTGATGAGGTCAGTCCTGCCTCAAACTCAAACTCTGAAGACAGGAAACCCACTGGGGCCTTCTTTGCTGAATCCTACAAATCGTTTGTCAACGATGCACGTAACAGTCAGATAACGGGTTCTGCTCCTGAAGCCTTCAGTCGCGAGACCGGGAACAATGAGAATATTGAACTGAAAATTGAAAAAGTGGACCAGTACCGTCTAGGTCTTGAGCCCTCAGGTCCTGTGTCTTTGTTCAGTGATCGAATCAATAATGGAGCAATGTCAGACAGTGACAGTACACGATCCTGCTCCCCAAAGGCCACGGGCAGCGAGTCATCTGATGGCCGGAGTGTCAAAACGGCCTCGCCCAACCGGCCTGGCGGACATGTGAACCTAAAGAAGAAATGGCTGCAGCGTCACAATACCTCCACAATCAACCCGTCCAGTGGCACAACCAGTACTCTAACAGAGCGCAAACTGTACGAGCTTGGTGTTAAAACACCCAACAGTGACTCTCTGAAACTGATGGAATCTCAACCCAAGGAGAGGCTGTCCCAGGCCATCCCCAACGGCCACATGCAACAGGCTGGCGGCTACCTCAGCAGTAGGGGTGGGGACAAGCCCCTCAACGCTGTCACCCTCGCAGACATTCCAAAGAGCAGTGTCCCCGACCATGTCTACGATTTTGACAACTCGTCTACGTGCTCGGACAGCTCCACTACCTCCAAGGGCCGCAACAAGCGGGGCCGTGAGTCCAAACACTCCAAGAAGCACCGGGACCGCAAGAGACACTCCAGTGACCACAAGAGCAAACACCAGAATGACAGTGGAAAAGACGTGGTTAAAGGTCGAAGCAATGCAGTCCTGGACAAAGAACCTACTGAGGAGAATGAATATGACATATACAAAAACTTCAATGTACATTCAGAAGGAGATAGACCAGCAGAAATAAAGGTAAGATAACAGGACTATGAACAATGTTGAAGAAAAAAATGAGATAAGTGAACTTCAGGATATTCCAGTTTGGGGCTGACATTCCCTGGAGTAATGTCAGTTTCATGTTTAAAAGCTTACTAAAATTCCATGTGTCACAAACCGCATGCTGCGTTTTAAATCATAACCTAAACTCTGTCCATTCGCCTTGAAATAGGATGTGGGCATTGCAATATCCTGAAATCCATTAATTTACCGTACGTGTACATAAAGATACCTATTCGATGCTCAATATGAGGTTCACAAATGCCAACCACAGTTTTAAAAACTCCACAACCTTGGATGTGTATAGTGATGAGTGAATAGCTGTCTTCTCGCTTGGCGTGAGCATTCACTGGCGTGCACCTCCCCCCTGTAGCGATTCTGCTACTCAGCAAGCAACAAGAATTCTCTTTGAGGGTTCATTTCAGCAATGGGGTCAATCTCTCAGCACCCAGTGCAATGTGACCTGCTTTGATTTCCCGGGAGGTGATAAGTGGATGTGTCCCATTGAAAGCTAGCCACAGATTTTTCTTGTCACATGGACCCTGAGTTAGATAGATTGCCTGGCTGACCCAGTTTATATTCCAATTTATTTTTGGCCTTGTGATGTACATGTATTTATGAGACACAGCATCCCCAGCCTAATTTTTATTGTTAGAATTATCTGAATCCTGTGTAGATTTTGGAAATACCCCCCCCCTGGTTTTTCTTTAATAGACTATAGACGCCAATGGCAGTTTGTAGTTTCTTAATCATTCTGTTTTGCAAACATTCGATAATGTCTAGGGGTTGAGGAAGCATTAAAAAAAATCATTTGGCACAAATGTCTACAGCGAAAGTTTGTGTTAATTATACGGATATACACTGATTCTCTCCTGAGGTTTGCCCAGCAAGAAATTTACCAGGAACATTTGCTGTGAAGCAGCTTTGTGAATTTTGGCCTTGAACTTGATTTGCCTTGTCGCTAATTGTGATGGTCCCGGAGAAATAAGCAACACAGAGTTTGACATTCCTTACTTCCCCAGGAAGTCCTTCCGTAGAAAAAACGAATTATACAAACCCATTCCACCATTGTGTGTCAAAGCTGTGACAAACTGAAGACGTTATGATAGTTGGTAGTCATGTCTCTCTCTTTCTCCCTGTAGTCCCAGATACCAGCTGTGATGGATAGATTGCTTCTGGCCCCCAAGAAACGCATTGTCACCCGAGCACGTAAGGAAAAGGATAAATTTGATGGCAAGTATCATTGATTTGATTTACCTGTTTGAATACAGTATTGTGGAATGAAATTAACGATTAGCAAGACACATCAGGTAGATGTGTAGGTTTTGTTTTGAAAGAATTGTCTTTGATCTGCTGATGGCCTTCTCTGTCCACAGTGCTGAATGTGAGCCGTGCCCTGGTCAAGCCCTCCATCTCTAAGCTTAAGAAGACAGGAGAGCCCTTCCTGCAGGATGGCGCCTGCTGTGACGTCACCCCGAGCTTGATGAAGTGCCGGGAATGCCGCATGAAGCCCAGCTCCAGGCAGTCCAAGATCAATATCTTCTGCCGCTTCTATGCATTCAGAAGGTGAGCTTTGGTTGCTGGTGTTGGCCCCATGATTGGTATCCTGTAAGGGCAAGCCCTTACAGGGCTTTGGTGTCGAATATGCACCAAAGCTGAATCACTGATGACTTGATGCTGGGGAAAGTCATGAATAACCAGCCACAATAGCACTTTCTGCAATGTGATATGGGACTGGTTCTCTACTTAATTATGTAGAGCACAATTCCAACAACCCAACCCACGTTTCTTAACTACAATCTTGATTTAGAACTGTTAGTTTAACCACTTGCTGTGGGGTGGATTTTTCTTGAGCAAGACAGGATGCCGGGTCCTTTTCAAGATTTTACTTTTTCAAAATTCTTTAAAAATTCATCATTTCATTTAATGGCCATTATACCCACATGAAGGACTCTTTGGGCACTACTCTAAAGCTAACAGGTAACCTTCATTGACTCCTGAATATTTCAGCCAGGCCTGCAGCCTTGGGAAAGAGTCCACATTGTGTGGTGTTACGTAAGATTCTTTTGTTCCTGAAACCGGCAAAGTGCACTGCTGACCTCTTTTCAATAGGGGCCCTATCAGCATGCAGGGGTGCTGTGTGGCTCATCGCTTTGGTGGTGGAGAGCTTTTGTCCCCGGTGGTAATCCGCTTGCTCTAAATGCCTCAAACCATGGTACACTGTTTCAAAACAAGGCTGGATTATTTCCACTATTGAGAGCGAAAAAATGTTGGTAATGCCCAGCAGCTCAGTCTTTTGTGCTGAGCATGGTCTTTTGTTATAAGACCCAGCTCTTTTGTCCCAGTTCCGGACTCCCCGGCTCTGCATATAAAGCCTCGGCAGGGAGTGGTTAAAACCTGGTTACCCACCAAGTAAGGTTTATTTTGGTTAATATATCTGGTTTCTGAACCATGGTCCAATCATCCTGGATACAGAATGTAGTTTTTAACAGTTTGTGCTCGGATTACTATTTCTTAGCTCATGATATTTGTACTGGTCGGAAACATCTCATTTTGTGATTCTGCCTTTATCCACCAGACTGCGCTACTCTAAAAATGGCAACTTGACCATTGCTGGGTTTTCGGAGCCCAGCCATTGCAAGCCTGAGGATCTGACGCCGTGGTTGCCCTACCCCCCTGACACTGATTGCCCTCTTGACGTTGAGACATCCAAGTACATCCTGAAGAAGGTTGGGGACCAGTTCTGTGAGCTGGTCGAGCAAGAGCACCAGGCTAAATCCTGGAGTACTGCACCAGGTAAGTTAATTTGTATTTTTGTCCTTACTGTTTAATGCTCATAGCGACAACAAGAGTATTCTCAGAACTGCTTCAGCTCAGAAGGACACTTTAGTGTGGTGCGCTTGTGCACAATATTCTAGGAACTTTTTTCAAAAATCTGAAATTATTTTTTTTTCTCCCTGTGCAGGTAAAATTGCCTGGAAGAGAGCAGTTACAGGTGTGCGGGAGATGTGTGACACCTGTGACACAACACTGTTCAACATTCACTGGACCTGCTCAAAGTGTGGCTTCGTGGTGTGCCTCGACTGCTACAAGCAGAAACACCCAAATCACAAAGGTAATCAACATCTTACCTGCTGCACAGAAGCTAAATCGAAAACATATACATGAGTAGGGAGTGCACATGTTACAAGTTTCAACACTTTTCCAATCAAGCAGTGACACTTTAACTCAAACAGCTTGATCTTTGCATACGTTAATCTCTTTTAAACAAACTGAATTTAAATCCGGAGACACCTTCAGGGATATTGAACAGTCAGATTTATTGGGCTGTCTCACTCTGTTGATTGTGCTATCTTTTTCTCTGCAGCCAAGTACAAGGGTAAGCCTGCGCTGGCGTGGCTGAAGTGCATCAAGGACCAGCCCCATCAGCCAGAGAGCCTGATACTCACACAGATCATCCCTGGCACTGGTAAGAAATGACCGTCTCTCTGTAACAGTTTGCTCTAGGCCTGTGTGCTGAAATAGGTTACTCTGGATCCCAACCCTGGTATTGGCTTCCCAGCTACGTTTTATCTGTTCGAGTGCTAGTGAAATCTAGTTAATTATATACTGATCGGCGGTCAACTGTCCTTGTGTACATTAACCTACCCTCTTCTTTAACAGGGTTGCTTTTGATTCAAATATTGGATCAGCATACTCAAAATTGTTTTCTTTAAATTCGTCGACAAATATTGAGTTGGCTTTTCACAAGTTTATTTTTGTTATGTACATTTGTGTTCTGCAATTCCAAGGTTAATTTGGAGCGCGTAATGCCATCAACTTTTGTTCAAAAGGAATGTGACTTCAATTGCTTCATTTTTCCTTGTCACAGCACTCTGGGATGTGGGTATGCTGGTTCACCAGATGCGGACCAGGTGGAACATTACTTGCTCATGCCCCTGTAGTAAGAGAGCACTCAACAATTCACCTGACAAAGTGCCTGCCATCAACGGCCTCTCTCCGGTAAGTTAGACCTGATTGCACAACTACCTGTCAGAAACTATTTGACAATATTCAGTCGGTTAAAAGTGGAAAGCTTGCGGTAGCACCATGCAAGAATACGATCTCTTTTGTGAGTCTGTATGGTTGTGAAAAGAACCGTGAGGAACTCAACGTTTTGGACACAAGAGATTGTATCCTTGCATGGTGCTACCGCAAGCTTTCCACCTTAGTTGTCTGTCACCATGAATAGCTTGAAATCCCATCAGTTAAAAGTGTTTCTATTAATTGGACAGGTATTGCTGTTTTCCTTTAGTGTTAAATTAAACTGGCTGGAAAACTTTATTTGTAGATCAGAATGAATGAGTAGGCCTACCATTCTCCATTTAGGTTAAGATTTGTTTCAGATTTTTTTAACTTATTAAATTTATTCTGACCTGGAGTCTCACAGTTGGACATCCCAGATGGCCAAAAATAATTTGATTTGTTCTGATGAGCCTCTCAGTGCATCATTCCCCCTAAAAAGCATTGTCTTCTGCAAAGGATGGTTGAGACCAAGATTTTTTTTAATTCTTGTGTCCCTTCAAGGTGGTAGTCAATGACAAAACGCCCAGTGAGTCAGGCAAGAGTGAACCCAGTGATTCGGGACAGTCCACGCCTGTCCACAGCAACTCACGGAGCCCCAAGGCACCCAAGTTGACCTCCTTTCCTTCAGCCTCCCCGCTGGACGTTCTAGCTAATGTTGCCTCCTCAGCACAGTCCGAGAGCACCAAATGCTTTACCAATTCCTCCTCGCCCAAATCCTATGAGTTGTCACTGCCAGACACCAAGGCAGTCACCATGACCACAGACAAGGTGGTCCGCGCCGACACCGAATCTGCCAAGAGTGAGAGCTGCTCTAAGCTGCGGGAGCTCCTGACCAAGACTGCTGGTAAGTTGGGACGCCCGTCGGGAGGGGTGGATGGATCAGCCTACCTCATGACGGCATTCCTCCCAAAAGGGGACAACACCAACAAGAAATCCACCCGGACCATGACCAGTACATTCGAAGACATCATCGCCACCGTTGTGGAGCAGAACATTTCAGCACCAACACTGAACAAACACGACCGGGGTCCTGTCAAGACACCCACTCGACCGGCCAGCCAACAGACCATGGCCGTTGAGCTGCCATCCAGCATTTACACCAGTCCGTCCGTCAAGCCAGACTCACCTTCCACAGTCACCGTGAATGCAGGCACCGAGGCCATGCTGCCCCAAGTAAGGCAAACCTTGACAGAGTCCAGCGTAGAATATCCAGATGTGCCTCACTCATGGCTATGTGATGGCCGGCTGCTGAGGCTACATGACGCCTCTCACAAGGGAAACCTCAGAATCTTCCAGGAGCAGTGGAGAAGAGGAGTGGTGAGTAATTAGGTTTCCCATGCAAAAACTCATGACATTTAACTGCAGTTGAGGGAGTACTTCAGAATTAAATCTGATGCTTACACAGGAAAGAAATAGTCTTTTTAAGTAATCTGGCCTGCCCAATGAGACTCATCCATTAATCGTACAAATCCTACCAGAATCTTGACATTGTTCCCAGATTTGGATACTGTCTGGTAAAAGAAAAGTAGTTCAGTATTAACCAAGCCCTGTACCTGTCCTACTTTCAACAGCCTGTACTGGTAAGTGGTGTCCGTAAGCTGCTCGACGAGAGACTCTGGCATCCTGTATTCTTCAACCAGAAATTCGGGGAGCTGCACAATGATCTGATTGACTGCAGCACAGGCAGTGTCATCCAAGGAGCACCCATGAAAGACTTCTGGGACGGCTTTGAGGATATTCAAAGTGAGTTGAATCCCTTCCTACATTCAAAGTGCTTCACTTGACTTTAACTCATATCTGTTTCCTGGAGATGTGTAATCTTGTGGATGAAAACTCTGAGCAAACCTATAGATGAAAACCCCAGATTGGGTCCACAAAATGTATACAATGGCTGGAAAAAGAAACTGGTTGTAAGAAAGAAACAGACAAATGAAAGTCTGGTTGACAAGTTATGCACTGATATTGTCAGCTTTTTGATCATCTTAGACTTGTACCATCATCAAGTCTTGATGGATACTGAGGTCCTTAGAAAACCTTTTGAACCAGAAATTAACTTTCACCACAAGTTGAATAGTTTGATGAAGTCTAGAATCAGTAAAACATCACCATGTGCTCATCAATTGTTACAACTGTTACAGTTTAAAACAAGTGAGCTTTTCTCCAATGCTGGTTGGGTTGAATGAAAAACCGGCAACTCTAGAGAGGATTGAACATGAAAATTGGTTTACATGCAGATCGCCTAGAGACCAAGCAGGGTCAGCCCTTGATCCTCAAGCTGAAGGACTGGCCACCAGCTGAAGACTTTGCCGAGTTGCTGCCGGATCACTTCCAAGACTTAATGAAAAACCTGCCACTGCCTGAATACACACGAAGGGATGGACGTCTCAACATCTCCTCCCGACTGCCAGATTTCTTTGTCAAACCAGACTTGGGACCAAAGATGTACAACGCCTACGGTAGGACTATTCATTTGCGATGCATGCAATGCGTAACTTTCATGCATTGAAATGATGAACATGATTTGTCTTTTGCTCCTAAATCTTTGACAAACAGTTCATCCACACTCGCATCAAAAACTGTAAGTGTAGGGAGTATTAACCACTTCCTTCCAGGCGACCCGTTTTCGAGTACCTAGGCTTTATATGCAGAGCCGGGGAGCCCAGAACTGGGACAAAAGAGCTGGGCCTTATAACAAAAGACCATGCTCAGCACAAAAGACTGAGCTGCTGGGCATTACCAACATTTTTTCCCTCTCAATAGTGGAAATAATCCAGCCTTGTTTGAAATAGTATTGAGGCATTTAGAGCGAGCAGATTACCACTAGGAACAAAGCTCTCCACCACTGCAGAGATGAGCCACACAGCACCGCTGCACGCTAATCTGGCCCCTATTGACAGATTAAAAAGAGGTCAGCGGTGCACTGTGCTGGTTTCGGGAACAAAAGAATCTTGGGTAACTCCGCACAATCTGGGCTCTTTTTCTAAGGCTGCAGGCCTGGCTGAAATATTCAGGAGTCAATGAAGGTCACCTGTCAGCTTTAGAGTAGTCCCAAAGAGTCCTTCGTGTGGGTATAAAGGGTCATTAAATGAAATGATGAATTTTTGAAGAATTTTGAAAATGGAAAATCTTGAGAAGAACCCGGCATCATGTCTTGCTCAAGAAAAATCCATCCGGCAGCAAGTGGTTAACATTGTAGAGCCTGTGACTTTAAAAATGCTAAAAGATGACATACATAAATGTACCTATAGCCAGCATCATCCAGTGTATCAGTGAATTATACTTCATGATTCAGTAAATATGCTCTTCAAATATCATTTCACACAGACTGATTGCAGAACAGATTGTTACTTTTCTTGATCTGTTTTATGATGTTGATCCGATTTCCTCTAAACCCAGGTCTTGCGATTCGTCCCAAGGAGGGCACCACCAACCTTCACCTGGATATCTCGGATGCCGTGAATGTCATGGTGTACGTCGGCGAGGACAAGGCAGGCCAGAATGGCAAGGTAGCCACTGAGATCAACCAAGACATCCTGGACGCCATTGACGAGGTCTGCCGGGACGAGCAGACGCGGCAGCGGGCACGGGAGAGCGGCGAGCGGCCCGGTGCCATCTGGCACCTTTTCCACGCTGATGATGCAGTCAAGATTCGGGAGCTGCTGACTACAGTGGCCAGGGAGCAAGGCCAGGAGGTGGCAGAGGACCATGACCCCATCCATGACCAGAGCTGGTACCTGGACGAGGGGCTGCTGGACCGGCTCCACAAGGAGTACGGGGTGCAGGGCTGGCCTATACTGCAGTGCATGGGGGATGCTATCGTCATTCCAGCTGGTGCACCTCACCAGGTATGGGCACAGTCATGTCTTAGTTTCATTCATTTGCGTAGCTCAAACCCTCCTAAGTCCTTCCCAATTTATTAGGGGTTTATCTGGAAGCGAGGAGTGCCATATTAATGATGGATGTGACTAGGAACTGGAGGTATGAAGCACAAAAGTACACTGCTAATGGATGTAACGATGGGAGAAGCTTGGGAAATAATATCCAATAACATTCTTTATTCAAAGCTAAACCCACATGAGTAACTAGAAGTCACTTTGTGTATTCAGGAATATTAACAAAATGTCGGTTTCTCTTTCATCATGCAACTGTATTACTCTCCAGTTAAAACAGGTGCAAAAAGATAGTTTGTGAGATTTAACTTATCTGTGGTTTTTAGCCCTCCAAATGCATGTACGTCAGTATCTCGTACAGTTTTGCTTAACAATGGTTCTTATCTTCCAGGTGAGGAACCTGCATTCCTGCATCAAAGTGGCAGAGGATTTTGTCTCACCGGAGCATATCTCCAGGTGTTTCCAGCTCACCCAGGAGTTCCGGCGTCTGAGCGACAGCCACTCCAATCACGAGGACAAGCTGCAGATCAAGAACATTATCTTCCATGCAGTCAAGGACGCGGTAGGGGTCCTGATGAGCCAGGAGAAACAGCAGCAAGCTGCCGGTGACTCTCCGCGATGACAGGAAATCATTGGGAGTTAAGACGTGTTACCATCCAAGAGTGGGCTGTCCTGTTACCTGAAAGATGAAAACTTGTCAGTGCAGAGAAAAAATGCCCATTGCTTTTCCTGTACCTTTCCTGTATGATGGGTCAGTGTGGGAAGGACCCTCAGGCATTTTTTGACAGTTTGGGTGTCTTATGGATAATTAGGAGGGACTAAGATTGTGGTTGTACTTCATGAAATTTACTTTCTTCTTGTGCTCTGTGGGCCAATGGGTCATGACAAGATTTCTTGTAAAAGTCACTTGGGCATGTCTTCAGGCTAGTAAATTGTGAGCAGTGATGCAAAAGTGTGATCTCTTGAGGAAGGAGTCTCTCGGAAACAGAAAATGTTTGGATACTATCAAAGTGGGCCACACTCACTTTAACTTTTCCACGCCACCTATCTGCATTTCACAACTTTCAAGCTGTGACTTTTTTTGTTGATGGGGAGATGTGTCAATGTTTATATGTTGACCAATCACTTCTTGGTAGCTACAGTAGAGGATTTGAGGGGGAAATGTATTGATTCAACAGAAGTGAATTATTTGACACGTGTAACTGATCCATGTGATCATTTGGTTTGGGGAGACAATTGAATGCACCAGTAATATGCTGTTTTTAAGTCGACCATTCGTCACACAATAGAAAAATTTGCTGAACAGAAAAAGAATTACTTGAAGTATCACAGCTGCCCATGTGAAGAGCTGTTGAACTGAGTGCACCTGTGTTAACTTTTGCTAACAGTTCTAGTAATTCTTCTTGTGCCGTATGGCATGATTATGCTTGTAATTAGACCATGATTGGAGGGCATGCAAGACATCCATTGGATGTCCTTTCAAGTTATCTTAGTGATGAAACTCAAGTTCTGTTGGGGATGGGGAGACATAGTTAGCATCAAGGTTGATCTCCGAAGATAGTGAGAACTTTCAGTACGTTGTGTAACATGGCAAGGACATTTTCTCAGTCAGGTTTGGTAAAAAGAATAATGTACATAGTTAGCAGGCATACAGCCGTTGATTTGTACCATGCTGACAGAATGGAGAAAGTGTTGGACATTACTCGTTTCTAAAGGAGACATGCAGCTCTTGGGGCATTTATCTGTTTCAGTGTGTGGTTTGTAGTTGTCAGTTTCAAAGTATGAAGCTCTTTTCGTGTGTTTATTCCAGATGTGTGAAGTTTGTTGATTTTTCACATTGCCCAAAAAAGATTGTGCCAGTTTTTCGTTCTCTCTTGGGTTCAATTTTTCCATCGTGCTGTTTCTCCATCCACATTTGTGTGGGATTCCTTTATGCCATTGATGTATGATATCATTAGTCTTAGCTCTTGGTTTTGTTTTGGGTGATGAAAGTAACTTTTAGAGAATCTTGAGACTTGCTGCTCATTTCATGTAAGTGAGCAATTTGAGTAAAATAACACTGCAGGGTGTAGTTCAGGATTACAAATTCTAGTTACCACAGTAGACACGAATTCAAAATCTCTAGCACATTGTAGTCTTTTACTGTTCGATGAGAAACGTTACTGGTACTTGTGGGAAGCCTCGATGACGTCTTGGCGATGCAGAAGTTACAAAGAAGATAAACACAGCAACATTCCATTTTTATTTTTTTCATCAACACTACTTGAGTTTGCCATTTAAAATATTTGACTAACTGTTCTGATGTTGGGCAAAACCACAGTTCATTTTAAATGTGGTTTAATTTAATCACAGTTCTGCACTCTTGCAGTGTTGTATTTCATTGTATTCCCTGAAAGTGAAGAAGTTAATTCGCAGAAGTTATTTTTTGAAATATTCATGCTATTAAAGTCATTTCAGCTGGGAAATAGCAGAAATGACAATTGTCCTACCACAGCACATCCACCCTCTTCCAATACTTTTTATCCACATGTAAGATTGTGTTTTGCTGTAAATTTACTCTGATCTATTTCTGTAATGTTATTACAAGATGTTACTTTCCATACTGGTTATTCAGTTGAAAGTTATATATATATAAATTGTGCACATTTTAAGCCGTGTTTAGTTATTGTGGACTGATATTTCTTCACAGTGCAAAAATTGTGCTGTTAGCATATCAAATGTACCTGTAAAACCCAATGCAAAGATAGAGGGTACAGTGGCTTGCAAAGCTGGAAATATCTCCCTGTATGATGACCTTTGTCTGTTGCTCTCATTTGTGAGTACAGAGGTTGTAAAAAGATGGCATGTACTCATTTTCTGAGGAATTCTAGTGATTTCAAGAAGTTTAAATTGTAGAATGATTATAGAAAACAGTTCAAGCTGTGCTTGACTGGTTGGAGGTCTGTCCAATTTTACTGCCTTAGCGGAATTAAAAACAACTAGGTGATGAAATGATAGGAATTGTTAGATTGATAAACTGAAACTGGATTCAGTTTAAGTGCCCTTGGAAATTTTTTCTCTGTACATATCTTGTATATGAACAAAAATTGTGCGTAGTGTGTATGTATGTACATTGATTTATTACTGGGGTTTTTTTTAGCGTGGGGGGGGGGGGAATTTGTACAAACTACTGACCGTACATGCGATATTGTTTGTTTAGGATGGCACAGTAGGTTCATGATGCATCATTAGTAGTAATGAATCTGTTGTTGGAGTAGGTGATTTTTTTTTCCTGTTTATCCAGTGTGAACAAGGGGATGAAACTGAGTGAGTTTGCCTTTGTAGTGTTTGTACATGTAGTGAGTTGGATATTACAGCTAAGTTTTCTGAGATTAGTCTTAACAAAAGATAAATACTCTGTCATTTCACCTTGATCTGTGTCTGGTGTGCATGGCATTCTGGGTAATGCAGTGCACTCGAGGTGAAGTGAACTGTTCTCCTGATCCTCCATATCACTTGTGTAGCTGTGCTGTATATATGTCACATAGTGTTATTTTTATATGAAAGAAAAAATAGATTAATTAAGTCAGGCTTAAAAACAAAGGGTGCGGATGAGGTTGCAGTGTGACATCACCAACACCAACCTCCATCCGGAAAAAAAAAACAAAACAAGAAGCTATGTACAGTTGAAAATATGTGAATACACGCACCCTATTTTATCAGAGATAAAAAAACAAACAAAAATTTAAACTATCTGTATGCATGGCTTGGCTTGCTAGAGCTCATTATTGATATAAAAATTGTTACATGAAGGAAAAAATACAAATCTTAAAATTAGCTTTGGCTTCTCTGTGTCGTTTATTAAAAGTTCTGAAATGCTGTGAAACTGTCCAATGATTTGGGAGATTGGTATCCAAAATCTTTAAACTAAGATTTAGTGTGCTTTTGCTCATTTTACAGAGTGGAACACAGAAAAATGTACATGTAGTGCATTCTGTTTCCTGTATACCATGAGGCCAAAGGCTTGATAAACACCTCTGTGGTGTTCAAATCTTTGCCATTCCCTCTAATTATAAAGAAGCTGACCTGATACCTCTTGATGTGTCTTAAGCTGTGTAAGGCATACTTTACATCTTAGATGGTGCGTTGTCAACAGTCTGTTCAGCACTGGGACTACTGACGTGTTGAGTGCTACATTGAAAATTGGTTTTATTCTTGGTAAACAACACTTAAAACACACTTACCAGTATGGGTGGACGTTATGTTTGTTGATGTGTGATACCCTTTACCGGTATTCGGTTCGTGTGACATGGCAACAGTTTCAAGAGCAACTCAAAGGAAAACATGTTTTCTCTGATTTTATATGTTCAAATAAAATATGGAAGCATCCAAATCGAACACAGTGTCATTTGTCTTCAGAGCTCAACTATAACTAGCTAAAAGGGCTCTTTCCTGTTCATGCGAATTCTCAACTTGATGAATGTAGATTGCATCATTCTCGCCTTGTGTTCGTAGTGGATAAACCTTGTGCATGTCAAACGATGGTTACGAACAATGGCTACATGCCCTGTTTGACATGCTGAAGGGTTTATCTACTACGAACACGGGGCGAGGGTTCCCCTCATTTTCTCTGTTTTCTCAAAATGACGCAATCTACATTCGGCATGTTCAGAATTTGCATCTTGGCATGAACAGAAAAAAAGCCTTTTTTAGCTTGTTATAGGTGAGCTCTAAAGACAAATGACACTGCGTTTGATTGGATGTTTCTTACCCCTCCCCTGATAGGTACATCCCTACCTGCACTGGGTGATGAATAGGGCTTGGTTCATTTATTGTTGTAATATAAGATAGAAATACAGCCAGA